TGGATCAGGGTGGGGGTCCGCACTGGGGTGCCTGGCTAGCCTGGATGAGGGAATGATGGCTGTTTGCAGCTGGTCACACACCCTTCAGGTTGGGGGTCCCCACTGGGGTACCTGGCCAGCCTGGGTGAGGGGCTGAGGGCTGTTTTCAGGCTGGGACTGAAGGTCCCAACCGCTCCTTTTTTTCTTTTTCTTTTTATTCTGGGCCAGCTTTAGCTCTGAGGCTTGGCTCCAGCTCTTAGGCCTCCGCTGCTGAAAGCAGGTATCTGGTTTGTTTGGGTTCTATAATCAAAACACTGTTTCAACTCCAGCTCTGAGATCCCGGCTGGCTGAAAGCAGGTTTCTGGGGTTTTGTTTAGCTTCTATATTTGTAACAATGTTTCAAACTGCAAGCTCAGAGGCCGGCAGCGGCAGGCGGGGAACCTTGGAATCCTCTGTCACTGAAGCAAGCAAGCCTCATGTTCGCTTCAAGCTGCCTGGCTGCCGGCCGCCATCTTGGCTGGCAGTTTATTTGCATATCGCCCTGATTAGCCAATGGGAAGGGTAGCGGAGGTATGGCTAATTACCATGTTTCTCTTTTATTAGATAGGATCATGTAGTGGGTGTAAACTGATATTTCATTGTGGTTTTGATTTGCATTTCCCTGTGGCAAATGGGTGTTGATCATCTTTTCATGTGTTTCTTGTCTATTTCCACGTCCTCTTAGAACAGTGGTTCTCAACCTGTGGGTTGCAACCCCTTTGGGGGTCGAACGACCCTTTCACAGGGGTCGCCTAAGACCATCGGAAAACATATATAATTACATATTGTTTTTGTGATTGATCACTATGTTTTATGTTCAATTTGTAACAATGAAAATACATCCTGCATATCAGATATTTACATTACGATTCATAACAGTAGCAGAATTACAGTTATGAAGTAGCAATGAAAATAATTTTATGGTTGGGGGTCACCACAATATGAGGAACTGTATTAAAGGGTCACGGCATTAGAAAGGTTGAGAACCAGTGTTTTAGAAGAAATGTCTATTTAGATCTTTCCCATTTTAAAATTGGGTTATTTTTTTGTAAAATTATCTATATATATAAAGAGCCAGGGTCTGTACCGTCCAACATGACTGAAGGCTCAAACGAATGCCAGGCGGGGGGTGGGCGGGGTCGGGCGGGTGCGGTGAGGTACGTAGCCTCCGGCCTGGGTGGCCCACTGCCTTGGCAGTGGACTCTAGCAGGACCTGGGCCCTCCCCTCTGCGGACCAGAGGCCCTTTTCCTGATGCCATGTTTCCAGGTCTCTCAGACCTGTTTGTGGAAGTCAGGAAACACTGCATGTGGTCATCCCGCCCTGGGGACTCCCAGGGCTGACAGCAAGGGTGGGCTTATGTGGGGTCCCCTCTGTTATGCGATCCAGGTTCGCTATATCCTAATATTAACTCTGGCAGGACTTGGGCCAGTCCTCTGCGTATCCGAGGTCCCGCTCCCTATACCTAAGCCCCCGAGTCTCTGAGACCCAGATGAAGAAATTGCCTGTCATTGTCATCCCACCCTAGGGATTCCCAGGGCATACAGCGGGGGAGGACTTTAGTAGGGTTCCCTCTGTTGTGGTGTCCAGAGTCCCTTTAGTGTTTCCTTGGGGTCCTCACCTTGACTCTGGCAGGACTTGGGCTGGTCCTCTGCGTATCTGAGGTCCTGCTCCCTGTACCAAAGCCCCGAATCTCTGAGACCTGGATGCAGATCCCTGGGTGGGATGATTCTGTTCTAGGGTCCAGGGTCCCTCCCTCCTCCCTCATGTTCCTCATCTTGAGCCCTGGCAGGTCCTGGGATCCTTCCTCTGTTGACCCAAGGCTGGACTCTCAGATCAAGGCCTCACTGCCCTGAGTCCTCTGCAGGAAGTCAGTGTATGTCACATCCGGTACCAAGTCCAGCAATTACAAAGACTGATGGCAGGGGCTGATATGGATTCTGTAGGGTCCTTTAGCCCTCCCTCTGATCCATACTTTGACAGGGCCTGGGCCTCCTGTCCTCTATGAACCTGAGTCTGCAATCCTCAAATCAGGTGTCTGACTACCGGAGTTCCCTGAGGAGGTGGGACAGGGGGAGGTGCAGTTTTCAACATACAAACAGGAAGCCCAACTTCGGGAATTTAAATTCCTGCCTCATTCACCTTATACTGTTAAACCCCAAATCTAGAAACTATACCTACTATGCTCACCCCCAAGATTTTAAACAGAGCTAAGATAACCAGTTGAGTAACTATTAAAAACAGCCTAAAGGCAATGATTTCAACATTGAAAATAGAGAGCTGAGGAGAGCCACATGGACAGTGGAAAAAGGGGGGTGAGATGGAAAATTTCTCTGGTAGTAGCCAAGAGAATGGTTTTCAAGGTGCGTATGAGCAACCTGTACTAGGGAAGCAGGATGATTCACATCTCCACAGAGACAGTCACATTACCTTAAAAGATTTTAGGTAAATCTTATGAAAATGAGCTAATGGTGAAGGATGAGAAAGAACAATGAACCACTGAAATGGGTAGCCTAGGGAAACGTTTAGGAAGCATCATCTCCCTACCATGTGACCCATCAGAATTGAATGTGGGGTCAGTAAGTTTGATAAGGCTTAGGAGTGCTAAAGAAATGCCCCTTTTCTCTTGCCAAAGCATCTCAGCCTCCTCACCCCTCCCCATGGGAGTGTCAGGATGGTGTTTTATGATGTCTAAGTTTCTCTCCCAGAGCTACCATTAGCTGGAGGAGAGGCTTCCTGATTGATTAAAGCAGGGGTGGGCAAACTTTTTGACTCAAGGGCCACAATGGGTTCTTAAACTGGACAGGAGGGCCGGAACAAAAGCATGGATGGAATGTTTGTGTGAACTAATATAAATTCAAAGTAAACATCATTACATAAAAGGGTACGGTCTTTTTTTTTTTTTAGTTTTATTGCGGGCCGTAGTTTGCCCATGGCTGGATTAAAGCCTAGGAGGTGTGGGCCCTCATTGTCCTGGAGAAAAGCATATATTCAGGAGGCCTGGGGCAGGGCCCTGGGACATTTTGACATGGTGAAGATGACCAGGAAACCACAAACTCCTGGCACAGTTATGTAACCACCAACCCCATTCACTAAAAGAAGGTAAAAGAGGAAGAAGCCCTGTTAACCCAGGTCCAGTGTCCAGGATGAAAGGACCACACCCAAACTTCTCTTCTTTAGAGGTGTATCCCCAAGACTCCCTGATCTTCCCTGGCAGATTCCATCCTCAACCCATACTTTTTCTCATGAAGACTTTTTTCCCTTTCATCCCAACCATTTCATCACAAACCAATGTCCTACGCTCACTCTGTTGTCCTTTCAGGTACTAAAGACATCCATGAAGGTGGAAATCCCTTGAATTTAAGGGAATTCAAGGAAAGGAGCCTTTCCAAAAATTCCTACCCCTTCAAGAAAACCTATGAAAGCTATAAAACCAACAATATGCGGCCATTATCACAGGCCAAATGAGGAACTGAATAGAAATGATCCAGAAACAGACCAAGATGATGTAGAAAAATTCACCACCTCAAGTGATAACTTGTGCAGCCAGTAACTTCAGAGCAAGGCCAAAGACATCAGAACTATCTATGAAGTCTCTGAAGTCTGGCCCCCAAGAAATGCTGATAGTATGGAAGCCAAATTTTACACCTACAGGGTACACCAATAGTGATGATTAAAATAAAATTGATAAGGGGTTCACTTCCAGTGTAAGCATAATTTGCAGACAATTTTTATTAAATTTATTGGGATAACATCTATACTAATAAAAGAGTAATATGCTAATTAGACCAGGAGACTTTCCAGAGACCTGGACGTCCTTCCAGACAAAACCATGGTGGTGGGGCCGAGGCAGAGGTGGTTAGGGACAATCAGGCCAGCAGGGGAGAGCAGTTGGGAGCAATCAGGCCATTAGGGGAGAACAGTTAGGGGGATCAGGCCTGCAGGGGAGGGCAGTTGGGGTGATCAGGCCGGCAGGCAAAGGCAGTTAGGGGCGATCAGGCTGGCAGGCAGAGTGGTTAGAGGCAATCAGGCAGGCATGTGAGCAGTTAGAAGCCAGTGGTCTCGGATTGTGAGAGGGATGTTTGACTGCAGGATTGGGCCTAAAACAGGCAGTCGAACATCCCCGAGGGGTGCCAGATTGGAGAGAGTGCAGGCTGAGTTGAGGGACACACACCCCCGCCCCCCGTGTATGAATTTCGTGCACCGGGCCTCTAGTTGAGATATAAGTTCTTTATATTCTACAGAGAAGTCCCTTATTAGGAACATTACTTGCAAAAAATTTTTTTTGCATTTTGTGGATGTTTTCACTTTCTTGATGGTATCCTTTGAAGCACAAGTTTTGATATCATGCAAATAGAGATTTACTTCTTTCAAATCTGGGTGCCTGTTATTGTGCAGGTGGCTCCAGAAGAGTTCAGGTGACCCATCTTGTCTCAAATCTTGGGTGCCTTTTCTTGTCTTACTGCCCTGGCTAGAACTTTTAGTAAACTGTGAAACAGACGTGGTGAGAATGGACATCCTTGTCTTGTTCCTGCGAATTTACAAGGTCTGCGAGGCAATCTGCGAAAATGCAAGTGTTGGGACTATTAGTGTAGTTTGTTTTCTTTAAAGGTAGACTAATTAAAATTTGTATATTTTTAATACTTTATGTAAATATTTCATAGAATACATGTATGTTCTCTGAGGGCAGATGCCACCTAAAATAAACGTGCCTTTGTCCTGGGTGTGTTCCTGTCGGCAGACTGTTCCAGCACTTACACGTGTTCACACCTTGTCCTCACAACAGTCCTGGAGAGCAGATACAACCTTCGGTATGACAGGTGGGAAAATGGCTCCCGGTGAATTTCATGCCACCAGTGAGTTGGCATTCCAGCCCAGGTCTGATTTCAAAACCTCTGCTCTTCCCACTCTTCCAAGCTGCTTTTCAAGTTTATGGAAAACCGCCCCCTTTAAAAAATCATGTAGCAATAAGCGTTGTGTAAGGCTCAGTCTAGAACATGAAAACACCTTCAAAACACACCAAAAAAAAAAAATGCATGTCCAATTTTTTTGGCTTTTTAAAATCACTGTTTATTCCATTTGGTAGAGGGTGTTTTTTTTTCTCCATACAAATATTTGCAACAATTTTGAATTCCCCAAAACCATACATAGACGATAAATACCATGCTATTAAAGTATTAAATTTGTACAAAAATACTTTACAGTTTAATACTTGTTTGTTACAAATAAAAATACATATTTAAGTGACTCATGATCTTTTTTTTTTCTAACATGATTCTGCTCTATACTTTCTTGCCCTGGCGGTCCTGAAATGTGATCGAAATGATATATTTCTCTGCACAGAAAGAAAGGTGAACTTTTTCCTTAAACAAAGGACACAGTGTTCAAATGCTTCATCTAAGCGGTCGGTCGTTTGAATTATTGACCAAAATGAAACAATGTCTGGAAAATAACTGTTTCAATGTGGATATTCTACAATCAATATACAGATCTATTTGTTTTTACATTCACCAAATAACAGTTATTAGTGTAACTATTCAAAATATCTGAACAAAGGGAAACAGTTGCTGACGAACATTGAATGCAACTGTCACAGTTTATTGCTCTGAGGGATGGTAATAATTGGCAATGCGTTTTGTGGAAAGTGTATTTACAATCTCGGTGCGTGGCGTGGCTCAGAACAAAAGACAGTCCAGTGTCATTTTTAAGTCCATGTGCTGTACACCCCTCAACAGAACCTGTTTTTAAAACACGTCAAGCAAGATGAGTTTGATTTGCCTATCCTTAAGAGAAACCTCGTTTTAATAGACTTCATTCTTAAATTCTTAGTTTTGAATTTTTAAAAATAAGATAACTAGCTGTCAGTGTTACTAAACACCCTAATTCATTATCTGAGATTTTCAGCTATTAAAAATGTGTCCTTAAAGGAAAAAAAAACCCAACAGGTAACAAGACATATCCTGTTTGATCATTTGTTGCATAGGGAATAGCATACATCTTAGTTAAAATCATTCCTATACTTGGGCAAAACAGTTCCCACCACCTATTAGGAGCTCCCACGTGCATCATTGCGGAAACATCTTAGGATAATTTTCTACCTGCACCCCTCCCCTAGCAGCCGCCCGGCAGTCACCAAACTAGTTCCCCCAGTAGAGCCAGCTTTACGGATTAATGACTTCCTAGTAAGAAACTGATTTCAAAGTGAGTTAAGGAAATTATCATAGAGACTATTTTCAAACAGACGTTTTCCAAAAATCGATAGGAAGATGAGCTTGTAAAAAATGCCCTCCGATGTTCATTGTGGGAGGGGTGGCCTACCTCTTTTTCTGTTTCTTTACCATTGGGCTTGGCAGGGAATCGTCTGCCACATACCATAGTGATCACCAAAAAAGAAACCTCTTCTACGTGGAAAGGGAAGTGAACATGAGCCATGAGAGAGATTTAAAAGACCCCTGTGCTTGCAGTTAATGCCACGTGATTATCTGTGCTTCAAACGTCACAGAAATCTTAAAGGGATTTTTTTTTTAGCACCATGTAGATATTGTCTTTTGTCCTGCTTTATAAAAAGCGTTGCTATAATGTATTAGTGGGCTCTCGAATCTCCAAATTACCACCATGGCTAGGCTGCTGGAAAAAAGCACTGTTCTGTTCGCTCCATCCTCCCGGGAGAGTCTGGTCTGTAGATTTCTGGGAGGCCAGTGGGTTTCTACTGATCACCAGGTCCAGCTTGTTACCAGATTCCGCTATGAGGGGCACCACAAGGCAGCAGTCAAAGTCCCGCGTTCGGACGTGATTCACCTGAAAGGTCAAGGAGGGCCATCCTGAGTCATTGGTGCGTTCTTCAAATCATTCCCAAACCCAGAGGAGCCCCTCAGGCAGAAGGAGTTGTCTTAAAGGTATTTGAAGCTGCACCTGTACTGACAAGTCCATCCCTGCTCTGGGAAGACATAACACACTCATTGGCTTACATAGTCCCTGCTACTCAATGTTAATGCCCCGGAGAGCTGGGAACAAGGACACATCGCCCCGTGCAGAACAGACTGCCTCGCCCACGGCAGGTGTTCCAAGTGCTGAATGAATATTATCCCCAATTTACAGATGAGGACAGTGAGGCACAGAGTGGTTCAGAGATTGGCCTTAAAGAAGCAATTGGGCAAGTGGTCCAGCTAGGATGTGTGATCCCAGGCGTCTGGTGGATTCCAAAAACCCATTCTGTCTTTCTTTTTTTTAAAATATATTTTTATTGATTTCAGTAAGGAAGGGAGAGGGAGAGAGAGAAACATCAATGAGAGAGAACCACAGATCGGCTGCCTCCTGCACATCCCCTACTGGGGATGGAGCCCACAACCTGGGCATGTGCCCTGACAGGAATGGAACAGTGACCTCATGGTTCATAGATGGATGTTCAACCACTGAGCCACACCGCAGGGCAAAAAGCCCGTGCTCTTGACCATGATGCTGAACCACCCTCTTAGGGAACCTCTCCCCCCCTCTCCACCCCCCTCCTCAGCGCACACAGGCACTCATCTCCTGGCTTTCTCTTTATTCTTCACCAACAAAAGTTGTTAAAATCGACATGCTGCTTCCATTCTGTGACTTTCCATTCTCTCCCCAATCTGACCTGACGCTCATATTATACAAATGACCCCAACTGTCCACACAGGAGCCGTGTCTAGGGTTGTCGTTCCCTTTGGCTTTCAGCACCGGCCGCTCTGGACGCCCACCCATCCTTAAGCCTCCACGTCCTGGGCTCCTAGGACGCTACTTTGCTTGGATCCTCTTACCATTTTAACTGCTCGCTTTCGGTCCTTTCCTGCCTCTATTTCTTCCTGTCCTTTAAACTTTGTTTTTCTTATAAGTCCATCCTTGGTTCTCTTCTCTTTATTACTACAAGTCCACCATAGGCAACTTTATCCGAACCCACACCTTCAGCATCCTAAATCTTCAGCTCTGACTCTACCAGCTCTTCTGAGCAACAAATCCAAACCTCCTCCCAGACGGCTCTACCAGGATGCACTGAGGTATGACAGGTGTGGTGCCGGTGTCTTCCCCATACCTACCTGTCTCCTTTCCTGTGATCTTCCCTTCCCCACTCCCCCACCCCAACGCACCCATGATAGTATTTTATGTTTTTCCAAATTATAAATTGTGTCATTCTGCTTACGAAATCAATATACCTCCAGAATGAGCTTGGCAGCCAAGCTCATTCTGGAGGTATGACATCTTGACATCTTGTAATGACATCCAAGAGTCTTCACAACCCGCACCCAATCTACTTTGATAGCCTCCACCTGCATGGAAATAGGTATAGCTCCAATTCATGGGTGAGGAAGACACTCTTAGAAGGCAACTTGTCCATAGTTATTCATTCATCAAATATAAAAGCACCAACGGAAAACAAAAGTGTCCCACACTTCTAGGACAAGACTAACTGTTCTCTTGCCACGGCAACAATGATCCCCAGAATTGGCTGTAAAACTGTCTGACTGATCAGCGTGTTCAGTGAACACGCCTCAGTGCAGCCTCATGCTTTCAAAGCCAGCTGTTTGGTGACACACTCATTCCAGTCAAACACACTTTTAAGACTGGATGCCGATCCTTTCCTTTTCCTGCAAAATGTTCTTCCTAAAAACTGTACAGAAGAAGTGGCTTGGCCCTAGCCAGTTTGGCTCAGTGGATAGAGTGTCGGCCCTGCAGACTGAAGGATCCTGGGTTTGATTCCGGTCAAGGGCATGTACCTCAGTTGCAGGCTCGATCCCTGGCCCCACTGGTTAGGGCACATGGAGGAAGCAACCAATCGACGTGTCTCTCTCACATCGATATTTCTCTCTCTCGGTCTCTCCCCTTCCTTACACTCTCTCTCTGAAAATGCCTGGGAAAAATGTCCTCAGGTGAAGATTAACAACAACAACAACGAAGAATTTGCTTTGCTCAATGAAACTACACCTGACCACGATAGGACTCCATCAAGTAAACAAGGTTCAGCGTTGGTTAGAGATTGAGCTATCGAGCATCGGCCAATGGGAGAACAAGGCACTGGCTCCCTTCTTAAGAAGTGTAAGATCTGCTGGGGCATCAATACAGGGAAACAGGCAATTTCAATAACCCGTAAGTCCTACCAGAGGAAAAGCTTCTATCCTGATCTAGTCCCCGGGCAAAGGAGGATGGGTGGGCTTTGGTCAAGAAAGACTCAGAGGGATAAATTAATGAAAATTCACCTGCGGTCTTACCTGTAAGAGCCTGTCATAGGGCTTTAAGCCACCGAGGTCTCCCGGTCCCGCGGGGCGAATGTTTTTGACGTACACGCCCTTCTCCAGCAGGCCATCTGCCACGCTGAACCCGAAGTCCTCCATGTCCGAGCTCTTGTACAAGGTCACCTGCAGCAGGAGAACGGTGGCGGGGACATTTTAGCCAGGTTGGAGACTGGGCCTGTGAATCTTCTTGACCAACCATCTTTCCAAACTCATTTCAATCACATAATGGATTTGTAATACATTAGGCAGCCCCCCCCCCCCCCCCCCCCCCCCCCCCCCGCCTTCCCTAGAATATCCTTGGAATTTGTAACAGAAAAATAAGGAGAAGGAGAAAAGCTGGAGAGGCCTGGCCTTCCTCTTCTTCTTTTTAAATAGCAGTTCCCAGGTACATGTGAGACTTGGACCAGGGCAAGCTGACTTTTCTATTTTCCTGGACAGCCCTCCAGTGCTGGGAGAGCCAAGGCGGCCCTCAGTCCTGCTGGACACCAGGGCTGAGCCAAAGGCCTTCCCTCCTGCCGCGCTCTGCCTAGGGCTGTGCTGGGTACCGGGCCCAGCGTTTCCTCCTCCTGTGAGCAAGTCTCGTGAAGTCCATCATTTTATTTGCTCTGGTGCCGCAATCATGACTCCAATAATGTTGGTAAAGCAAACAAACCAACAAAAACAGCTACAAGTGCGCCTGTAACAAACCCCTTGCTCTGGGCCCGGCTTCAGCAGCCGCCTCTGTTTGTGTGGAGGGCTGGGTGGAGCAGCTCGAGGCATTCCCCTTCTCAGCTGTGGGCCACAGCTGGTTCTCTCTACACCTGAGACCAGCTGCCGCCAGTTAAGCTCCCCCCAAGGCTCATCTCTCCACCTGGCCATCTGCAAGAGTTAGCCCAGTGTTCGGCAAACTACGGCTCGGCAAACTGTAGCTTGGGAGCCGCATGCGGCTCTTTGGCCCCTTGCGTGTGGCTCTTCCACAAAATACCGACTTCTGCACATGGGCCACGAAGTTTCAATCACACTGTACGTGCGCGCCCGCATGTGGTATTTTGTAGAAGAGCCACACGCAAGGGGCCAAAGAGCCGAATGTGGCTCGAGAGCCGTGGTGTGTGGACCACGGAGTTAGCCTGAGGTTCCTTCACTCATCCAATCATGCCTACTTTCATCAAATGGGGATTGAGTCCCCACCCTGTTCTGGGCACAGGAAACAGCAGTGAATGAGAGGGAAGAGCCCGCCTCCCAGAGGCCCGCGCATTGGTATGTAATGTTCCCCAGCACAGTGCCGGGCCCTGCCCGGGACAAGCTCAGCGCCTCACACTCATTTCACACTTAAAGGCGCCCACTGTTTGTCCCAAGGCTGCCAAATGCCCTCTGCAAAACCCTGTGCACACTTCAAGCCATGACTTGGGCTTACTTTTTTACCCTCGTGGTTTAAAAACATGCCTTTTAGTTTACTTTCACACAAATAATATGGGGACGCATTCTTGCAGAAGAGTAAAAAATTCAGAGCTGTACAGAGCAAAACGTGAAGATGAAAACTTTTAGAGCAGGTTTATTTTTTTATACCCAGTCATTTTAGTTCAGAGAGGTAGGACACATGGAAGGAAGCAGGAAAGTGGCCAGTGTGCGGATTTTTATTTTACTGGACAGAGAGCTAAAGCACCTGCTGGCTGGGTCAGCACGATTCACTAGGCAGCCCTAGTGGTTACTGCCATGTGGAGGTGAGAAAATTCTATTTTATAGAAGGTTAGTAACTTGCCCAAGATCACAAAGGTGAGGGATGGTGGGGCTGAGTTTGTCTGACTACAGACACGGAGCACTCCACAGTCGCGCAAAAGGCCTGATTTCATAGGTTCCAAGAGGCACTACTTTAATATTTTAAAATCTCTGAAATCAGACTGTTTTATTATCAATGGCACCTTAGGTGAAATAAGGCACGTGATATGTGCTGATACATCAGCATATACTAGCATATGGTTTTAAAATCCGAAATGGCCTGGTTTCTGTGGAAGGATCACTTCTGTGGCGTTCAGTTCCACAAAGATAGAGCAGCCAGCCCCGCTGTACTACATAAAAGACCGTGTGCGCCTGCGCGGATGTGTGTGTGGTTTAGAAAATCCAGCCTCCCCCCCACCCCCCCATCGGAATGCACCCTTTGATGTTTGGGGAGAAGTGCGTTAAAACTGAGTAAATGAGAACATGCTCTTCCCCTCCCCCCACCCCGCATCCCCAAAGCAAATCCCATCAGGAGTGGAGGAGACGATTTTCTTGGTGACTTGGGCTCAGGTGAAGTAGGGGAGGACGTGGAAGATGCCCCTTCAGGGAGCTTGAGAGGAGCAAGGACCTTTGGGATATTCATTTCCATATCCCAAATCCCTAATCCGGTGCCTGCCACATAGGAGGGTTGGTATTTTTTGTTGAATAAATTAGAAGATTGGTTCTGACAGTCAGTACTGTCCACCATAAGCTGGGAGTGTGAACTAGGCTGGGCCCCGACGAGGATCCAATGGCGCCACCTGGTGGTCACAGCAGGTGAGAGCACCTCTGACATTGAGCCAGGCCTGTCCCACAGGAGAGAGATGGATGGAAGGTTGAGCAGGAGATGCTGGACTTCTGGCTAATAAGGTCTGTGGGATTTGGCGAGCAGATTAAAACGCAAACAGAATGCTACCGTCGCTACCAAGCTTGTGGAGCAGATCACATGGACAGGGAAAGGAAGGCTCAGAGAGGGTTAGAAACCTGCCCAAGGTAAAACAGCAAGCAACAGAGTGGTTCTGACTGAGAAGTTCGGATTGCTCCATGGTACACTTCCTTAGTAAATGCTCATTTCAGAGAAGAATTTTTAGGCCCCTCTATAACCACGATTTGTCATAGGCCAAGGATAGGAGAGAAAGCTATTTTTAATTTTTTCCCAATTTTATCAAGATATAATTGATGTACAGCTCTGTATAAGTTTGAGGTACACAGAATAATGAATTGACATAAACATATTGGGAAATAATTACCACAGTAAGTTTTGCTAGGAGAAAGCTATTTTTTAATGAAAAAAATGTCAAACACATTCAAGAGCAGAGAGAGTAGAACAATGAATCCCCACATACTCATCACTCAGACCCAACAACCATCAATAGCTCACCACACTTACTTCATCCACCCTTCTGTTTTCTTTTTGGGGGTGGTATTTTCAGGAAAATACCAGTCCTCATGCTATTTCACTCTTACATACCTCAGTATGAACTCTAAAAAACATGAACTCTTCCTATGTAACCTCGATGCCACTAATTCATTTGCAAAATCAATTCTTACTCCTTGATATACTCCAATATCTAGTCCATAATACAATTTCTCTGATTGTCTCAAAAGTGGTTTTTAGAGCTGGTTTGCTCAAATCCGAACAAGGTCCACACATTATGTTTGCTTTCAATCTCTCCCCCCACCCCCCTTAAAATACATTTCTATTGATTTCAGAGAGGAAGGGAGCGGGACATAGAAACATCAATGATGAGAGAGAATTACTGATCGGCTGCCTTCTGCATGCCCCCTACTGGGAATTGAGCCCACAACCCAGGCATGTGCCCTGATTGAGAATCCAACCATGACCTCCTGGTTCATAGGTCAAAGATCAACCACTGAGCCATACCAACTGAGCTCTATCTCTTAAATGTCCTTTTATCTAGAGTATGCCCCCATCTTGTTTTCTCTGTGCTGCTGACTTATTGTGGAAATGGTGTCATTTGTCATTACTATGCTCTTTTATCCCCCGTATGTCCTCTAAATAGATGTGAGCTCTGGATGCTTGATGGGAGTCAGAGGGGGAAGGGTATCCTATATAATAAAAGGCTAATATGCAAATCGACCAAACTGCGGAACAACCGAACAACTGGTTGCTATAACGTGCAATGACCACCAGGGGATGCACACTGAACATGGCAGGCGTCAGCAGCAGGTGGCAGAGTGCAGAACATGGTGGGCATCAGCCAAGGCCAGATGGTGGAGCAGGTAAGCGGAGGTGCCAGACCAAGGCAGGGTGCCAGTCACTGTCATTCGGGCAAGCCTCTGGTGGTTACTGAAAATTCTTTGCTCCTGCATGCCACCATCCCGCCTGGCACTCGCACCCACTGCCAGCACCTGGCGCCATCCCCGATCACTTGGTGCCATCAGCGGGTGCGAGCGGTGGCTGCCAGCCCCAATTGCCCCTCAGGTCTTCTCCACCTCCCCCTGCTCCCGAGGGGCGATTGGGGCAGCAGCCCCCACTTGCACCTGCTGCTGGCGCCAGCCCCAACCACTCTGTGCCATCAGCAGGGCCATCACTGTCAGCACGTGGGAGCAGTGGTCGCAGGAGTGGGGATGCTGGCAGACAGGGGACTGGGGGCCGCGGCAGGAGGGGCTGGGTTGGGGCATGGAGGATGGGCCAAGACCCACCCCTATCCCCACTGCAGCCTCGCAGCCCACAATTCCTTTCAAGGTGCACGAATTCGTGCACTGGGCCCCTAGTAAAGATATATTACCACAGATGGACAGTGTGCTTCCTATGACATCTTGTCACTCAATGTCTAGTCCACTAGACATTGGGTTCTGGTGATGACAGCTCAATTTCTCCACTGTAAGGCTCCCTATCAACTTTTAATCTAGTGGTTTTATCCACTGATGACCTTGCTCTGAATAAATACTTTCATTAGGGCTTGCAGGGTGATAATCTTTTTCTAATCCTATAATATCTTCTGTATTAGCTACAATTCTTTTGTAAAGAGGACTTCTCCTTTCTTCAATTAGTGCTATTTGATTACTCTGAAGTACAGAGTTTGTACAAGAACGGCAAAGGGAATGCTAATTCTTTCCTTTTGTTCTTAGAATAGGAAATTAGGGCACTAAATACTTCCAATGGTGTCCCAGGGAGGGTTTTCTGGGAGGAGGAATGACTTTTGTTAAGTAAAATATCAATATAAACCTTTGATGATCAATTGTGTCATCATTACTTTGGATGCTCAAATTATCTCATCTTTGACCAAGGAGAATCCTTAATGTTGACTCCTATGTCCTTGTGATATGACCCATTTGTTATAACTTCTTCGCTTTCTAGCTCCAGCTGTCACAGACCCACTATGGATATTTCTTGTTCCCCATATGGAATCAGCCATACCTCC